ATATACATGACCCCCATCAATCTCCCAAACTCCGCCCATCTCAGAGCACAAAACTTCTTTTCAACCAAACGAGCATTTTCTCTCTTCAAAGCACTCACTACTTCACTTTCTTTTTTCCCAACTCGACCAATATAACAAACATGGCTCCTACCTTTAGCAGCACCAAACGCAATGCCGCCTCAGCCCTGACTAGGGCCTCAAGCCACCCTCCTAGGAGGGCTTATGTCACTTTCTTGGCTGGAAACGGTGACTATGTCAAGGGTGTGGTGGGATTGGCCAAGGGGCTCAGGAAAGTTAAGAGCAAGTACCCACTTGTGGTCGCCATCCTACCAGATGTTCCCGAGGATCACCGAGAGATTTTGGTCAAGCAAGGGTGCATTGTCAAGGAGATCGAGCCGGTGCACCCGCCGAAGAACCAGACCCAGTTCGCCATGGCCTACTATGTCATCAATTACTCGAAGCTCCGTATCTGGAACGTAAGTATATAAAATTATTATTTTTTTAATGTAATTATTCACGTTAGGGTATATTTATAATTTAATACTAAGGTCTGTTTGGTTGTGGGGAAAATTTGCAGTTTGTGGAGTACAAGAAGATGGTTTACTTGGACGGGGACATTCAGGTGTTCGACAACATTGACCACCTTTTTGACATGCCGGACGGCAACTTCTATGCCGTGATGGACTGTTTCTGTGAGAAAACATGGAGCCACACTCCTCAGTACAAGATTAAATACTGCCAGCAGTGCCCGGACAAGGTTCAGTGGCCGGCGAAGTTGGGTCCTAAGCCTCCTCTCTACTTCAATGCCGGCATGTTCGTCTTTGAGCCAAGCCTCTCCATCTATGATGAACTCTTGAAGAAACTCAAGATCACCCCTCCAACCCCTTTCGCCGAGCAAGACTTTTTGAATATGTTCTTCAGGGAAATCTACAAGCCAATTCCACCAATTTACAACCTTGTCTTGGCCATGCTATGGAGGCATCCGGAGAACATTGAGCTAGACAAAGTGAAGGTGGTGCACTACTGCGCCGCAGGGTCCAAGCCGTGGAGGTTCACCGGAAAGGAAGAGAACATGGAGAGGGAAGATATCAAGATGTTGGTGAATAAATGGTGGGATATTTACAATGATGAGTCACTGGACTACAAGAATTTTGTGCCTTCCGGTGAAGATAAGGCCGTTCGCCAGCAACCATTAATCATGGGGAGGCCGTCGGAGGCTGGCGTCGTTTACCACATATGCGCCCCATCCGCTGCCTAACTGGTTTGTTCCGGTGTTATAACCAGGAGTATGAAATTTTTTATGCATTGATTTGTGTCTTTGGGCTGCTCAATTTTTTTTTTTTTTTTTACAAAGTACAAATTTAGAGTGGGATTACACTTGCCACCTGCACCTACACCCTTTCGCTCTTTTTGTTAAGGGTTCAAGCTGACAGTGCAATAATATTGTAACTATTCACTCACCTCCCAATTTTCCATTCATCAAAAAAAAAATTTAGAGTGGGATTTATATCAGATCCTAAGGTTAGGGCAGCACAATTCTTAAAAGCTTACAGCAAATCGGCCTAGAAGCCCAGGTGCAGGTTTTTGGGCTTTCTTATTTTTGTACATAGAAAGCCTTTTTATGTTCATTTTCAAGGGAGTGTGAACCGTGGAAGGTGTGAGAAGAGGACTTTACTCTTCTGGCTTGATATATATATATATATATATATATATATATATTACTCTATGTAATTGTTTTGAAGTTTAATTTCTACTAATAATATAAAAAAATATTTTCTGTAAAAATATTAACTAAATTTAAGTTCATTACAATTATTCATGTTACTAAATTTAAGTTCATGTACTAGTATTATTAGCAAGAAACATTAATAAAGAGTTTAATTGAATTGATATCTAATAATTTAAAATTATGATTTGAGAATATCATAATTCAAAATTGTAATTAAAAAAATAATATGTTTAATTTATATAATGAATAAACTTGAAAAATAGAAACCTCAAGTTGAAAATTTTTAGGCTAAGAAAGTATTTTTAATTAGCCTTATTTTCTATGTTTTGGGACTTCTGGAAAAAGGAAAGGGGCTTGGACAAAATCGAAAAGAAGAAAATGTTGAAATTAGACTCAAATGAACAAACCAACAAAACTGGTTCGCAAAATTTGGGTCTAATTACATCCAAATCCAATTTAAGGCCAAATTGCAGCCCATAAGTTTCTCAACCCATTTATCAAAGAAAAGAGTGGGCTCTATACCCCGTTCTTCATACCAGGGCTAGACAAATAGGTCGGTTAACTAAATAGATAACTGAAAATTAATAAAAAAAATAAATTAAATAGTTAGATAAAAATAATAATTGAATTTTTTAAAAATTTTGATCGGATAATTCAAAAAATTCAGTCGGTTAATAGTTAGAAGGTTAAAAAATTAAAAACTCAATATATAAATAAAAATAAAATTTCATATTAATAAATAAATTGTAATTATTATAATATTATAAATAAATATACAAATCATCCTATTCAATCTTATTTTCAAATTTTACCCTATAAATTTTGTTACAGTCTAGTATTTGAATTTAAAATATATCTAAAAGTAAAAATAAAATAAAATTCATAATTCATAATTTACTCTCATTTATCCATCTTTTTTGCATTTTCTTATATTTACATCCCTTGAAAATGTTGAACTTAATTTTGATGCATCAAAACTTAATGGAAATGTAAATTTACTTTTTATATACTTCTCACCCAATTAATTAAAATTTTCATTTTAATTTTGATGATCAATGTTCAATTATAAATGTGAAAGGGTTGATTTTAAAGTTTGAAACAAAATTCATTTTTGGATTCTTAATTGTCGATTTTTCTTTATTAAGGTAAGAAGTTATTGTATGTTATTGTTAGTAATTTATTTTTGAGATTAAGTATATTGTCTAATTATTGAATGAAATATGTTTCCAAAAGAAATTTATTGTTCTTCTCAAAAACTTTTCAAAATACTACCTTGTGTAAAAGAGTGTAGATCCAAACAACAGGGTTAATACAAATTATTTTTACTGGGTTGCAGTCTATGACACTTTTGTTAATTAAGCCCATGAAATCCAACTTCATCTCTTCGAAAATGGAATTGAAATTGGAGCATTTTTGGGGCTAGAGCAAGACAATAATATGGCCCAAGAGAAATTGCAGCCTAAGTGCTCTTTTAGACTTTTGCAAATAAATTAAAGGCTTACAAATTAGAGACAATATGTTATTTGCGTTGGATTCTTATCTTTTTTCTTAGGTGCCGATGAGTTGCAGAGTTGGAGATCAAATCAAAATGAGATTTGACAGGGTCAGTTGAGAAAAAGAAGGGCAACTTCTAGGAGTTTCCAACAAACAAAATTCTGGTGGTTTCTACTTGCTGTATTTTCGTTTCTAGTTACCTATAGATCACATTATAGAGATGATCTCGGAGTTGTTGTCATATTGTTTCGTATATCATGGAAGATAAGGAGAATCAAGATTAGATTTTTGTTGAATGGAAGCAATCATGGAAGCCTTTAAATATAAGTTTTCAACACATTTTTCAGTTCCAATAGACCTACCCTTCACACACAAGTCAATATACTTTTCAAAACTTAATATTTTACACAAGTATTACTAGGTTATTTTTAGCAAGTTGTCTTTTAATTCTTAGTCTAGTAGAAGTAGATTGGCATTCCCCAACAGATTCTTGTTCATTGTTGATTTAGTTTTTGATAAAATTAATCTTCACGACATTTATTTTATTTTATTATTTACTTCTACTTGATTTCTTAGTTGTTAAGCATTTAAATTAAATTCAACCATATCTGCGATTTCAGTTAAATTCGAAGTCCTTTACATTTTTGCTACAATTTGTGCTTTGATTGCACTTTAGCTTATTGCACTTTTTAGATTTCTGCCAGCTTACATTTTCTGCTTGTAGTTTATATTTTTATCTAGCTACATTTACTGGACTTTCATTTACTAATTTTCAGAACTTGTTTTTAGCTTATTCACTTTTTGATACTTTAGTTAAATTTTTCTTGATATATATTTATCATAACCAAAGTCCTTGTCTCTTTGATGTGATTTTAAGGCAAAATTAACCTTGTCGTGCTGGAATAAATCCTTCATTTCTACTAATTGTCAAATTCAGGCACATTTTATTTTAAACAGTATTCTTCCAACAACATTTTTCCCAAGGAAAAATCAAGTGGAAGAAGAGAGTCGCTAGCAAATCATTTTTTCACTTATTTTGCAAAAATATGTGGTATGTTTTCATTCTAATTTCTACCACGAGCTATGGTTAAAAGTTACAATAAAAGAGTCTCTTTTTTATTTTATTGACTAAGATTTATTTATTTTAGATAAAAACATAATTATAATTCTTTATAAATTTCCTACTGTCAATTTGCATGGCTTGTTTTTTATTAAACTAGATCCAAGCTAACACTAATTGTTACGTTGAAAGGAAAACAAACAAATAAACACTAATTGTTAACTTTTTTTTTAAAAAAAAATTTCTCTACTAAGATTCTTTCCCTAGAGAATCTTTAAGCACTTGAGAAATCTTTTGAATATTGGAGAAAACAAACAAGTAGACTAAAGAGAGGTCCTGTCGTTATGCAATTTCCTTATATAAGCACCTGAGAAATCTTTTGAATATTGGAGCTATGAAAATCTTCTCACAATCCTCCAAACAGGCCTTACAAGTTAAGGAGATCAAAACCCTGGAGGTATACCGCGAACGAAGAGAACTTGGAAAAGGAGAAGAAAATTTAATCAATCGGCATTAAAATTAGAAAAGGAAAGCTCAGTGATGTAATCATAAATTGAAATATTGAATCACCCATTTAGATTTAATTTCGAATTGGAAGGATTCAATTATTCAAATCGATAACCATATGATTATTTTAATACAAATTCTTGCCTTTTTTTCTCTTTTCATTCATTCTTAATAAGAAAAACATTAAAGAATGATTGAAGGCATTGAGAAGGAAAAGGAACAGAAATCAAATATATTATTATGAAATAATATAAAAGCAAACAAAACAAAAACTAGAGCAAATTAGAAAAATAACACTAATAAAAAAAACTAAGATTCTAGTTTATTTTTTATTTCACATAAAGTGAAGTTATTTATACATAAAAGAATTGAAACATTAAAAAAAATTATTGTATAATAATTCTTGTAAATAATTTTTATTTACATTGTAACTCCCATGATTGTACCATGCAATATTAACTAATTTCAAAGAAAAATGAACATCAGTCATCCATTGTTGATCAATTAAAACTCCCAAAAAACTAATTATTTCTGGTGGTAGAGGATTGAAATAGCCATTCATCACTCATCCGTTAGAAGAAGAAATGTAACATTCATGCCATTGGTAATTAGAAGTGTAATAGTCATCTTTATTTCATAACCTCAATCTTCCTTCTTTCTTTTTTTTGTGTGTCCATAGGTCATTTTGTGGGTAATTCAAAATTAATTTCTTTCTGGTTCAGTTAAAGGTAAGTCATCCACGACAGAACTAAAAAATTTATAAAAAATTATTCCAACATCAAGTCTTTCTAAAAATTCAAATCTTATTCAATAAGATGAGAAGCAAACTCTCTTTATCAATTAAGCCACAATTTTTTTTATTATGAAATCAATCTCTTTATTGCCTTATTGATTTGATTTATGTTTATACTAACCTCGGTCGTCCTTCTTTCTTATATATAATCTGTCTTCAATATGAGGTATAGAAAAAACAAGTGGGATCTAAGAAAACTATCTTCTTTGCTGTTTCTCTTTTGGTGACTCTTACCCCATTTTCTCCATCTTCTAGTGTCACAGAAGAGACTCCAAGGGCCATATGCTTTCAGACACAAAGCGAAGAATTCTGTGAGAATCTTTTGATGAATGATCCCCGGACGAGTTCTGCAGATCTTCCTCTGCCCTAGCTCATCTCAATTGAGCTAAGAGAGAAGCAGTGCAGTCAGACACTTGAAATTTTATCCCAACTCCATGACAGTGCCACTGATCCTTCCATAAAAGAGCCACTTCATAAATGTTTAGGGATTTACAGTGAGATGGAAGGGAAGATCAAGGAGGCACATCAGCTTTCTGTGGCTAAAAGGTACAAGGATATTGATCAATTGGCTAAGGCTACAAATCTTGCCATACAGTGTGAGAAGGGGATTCCACTCAGCTATAATGCCACTCAGGAGACAAGTATGAACATGATCTTGACATGTCAAACTTCTAACTATGTTAATGCATTCATTACTCAGGGGAGTAACTGAATTCTTTTATTGGAAACAATCTTTGTTTTTCATGGTATAAGCAAGTTTCAGGACATTTTTGCTGATTCTTCATATTCATTTGACTGGTATATGAAATCCATTGAAGTTATGGCGATGTGAACATATATATAAATATATATATATATGGAAAATAATTTTTAGACAATTTTTTGTGTCACTTTTTTGTACAACCTTATGTGTCATTTAAATAATTAACTCTTTTTATTTATTTGAAACCTATAATATTAAATACATCTACCCATTTAATAACATATAAAAATTATATAAAAAAATTATTCTTATATCACCGTCTATGTATATGTATATATTGTTATCTTTATTCTTAGAGAAGTTGTTGTTCTTTTTAATTAGAATTCAACAAAAGCTTAATCAAGGAATTTCTTTTAATTCCTTTCCGTAAAATCTCAGCAAATAATGGATATGTTGATCATTTGACTACTCTTGCTTACACCTGTGAGAATTGGCTGCCTCACCAACTGCTACAATCACTGAGGATATGTGCTTCTTAGTCTCCATACAGCAATTTATGTCACTGAATATGCACTTCAATTAACTAGGTAGATTTTTTGGCTGCCTTCAATTTCTTTGGAGGCCAATGCGAATATACTTTCTACTTTTCTTTTACTCCAAGCACGCCCCTAAAATCATGGATTGAGATCTTTTTGGATAAGGAAGGTAAATTGAAAAAAATTGGCAATAGAAAACCTTCAATTTTGGGTGAGGGTCGGCCGTTTGTCGCTAAAGCCGGGGGTGAAAGGATAGTTCTAATTTGTTTAGGAGCCTACTACTGTTTCATTTGATTAATAAAAATACTAATAACTATAAGTAATAATTAATAATTAATAAAATAATTAATATTTATTAATTAATAAATTAATAATTTTAGACATTTAAAAAAAAGGTTTATCTAACTTAAACCTGATTGCATTTTTTTACATTTAAGTTTTTTTAAAAATTCAAAAAACCTGATCTTACTTTTATTATTAATACTAAATGCATACTTTTAATTGAACAGTTTATAAAATAAAATTGTTTTGTAATTTTTCAATATAAATTAATTACACTAACATGCAATAAAATAATATAAAATAAATTCACTCTTATTTTATATTTTAAAAGCACATTAATTTTTTTAAAATAAAACTTTAATAACCATAACAATATTAATGATAACAATAACCATACTTACAAGTGCTAACAGAGTCTGGTTTGAAACTTGAAAGTTACTCTTTCTATGTTTTTTTCATGGGGATATTGGCAATTAATGGATAAGCACTAGAGGAGAATGACATGCTTATTGAATCAGCACAATCATTGATAAAGGAATGAATAACATGTAGACAATACAATTCATAACGCCTTAACAATGGAAATATATGAACACTAAACAAAGAATTATTTCAATTCTACATGGGTAAAATACCAATCTCTAACACGGTAATAACTACCACAAACTGGATACATTCTTGCAAAAATTACAATAAAATAAAAATCAATCAAACACCACCATGTAGCACATAAAAGGCTCCAATCTTGACCAAAGATTGTTTTTCCAAAATGTTATTGTAATTGACCCCATTTCTCAACCCTGCCACATTATAACAAATCCAAGAAAAATGAATAAAAGGAATTAACTAATATCAAGAATGGATCGGAACATATCATATCAACCAAACCAACCTTGTTAGCAATGTTGTTGGAAAGCCAGTCCAGTCCCTCATAGAGACCTTCCCCCGAAGTTGCACATGTACTCTGGATATACCTGCAGGAAGAATGGCCAACAAATATGGAACTTCAAATATGTTAGGATCAAGTAACTAATCACATGCTAAGGGGAGGTAGAAGCATTACCAGTGGCGTTGACGAAGAGAATGGAGACCAAGCTTGTCAGTGATCTCAGCAGCATTCATGGCATTTGGGAGATCTTGTTTGTTTGCAAAAACAAGCAACACAGCATCCCTTAGCTCATCCTACTCATAGAATAATCAACTCCATTAGCTAAAATCAATTACAAGGTAAACAAGGTTCAGTTATACTTTGAAGAAACATGCTCCATAGACAACTGCTACAAAATTTTCAACATCAAAAGGATCAGGCTTAGCTCAGAATCAAAAATGGACTCCATATACATCAAAAAGATACATTATGCTCCCAAACAGCTAAAACATGCAAGTATGCAACACAGCATCCCTTAGCTCATCCTACTCATACAGTAATCAACTCCATATACATCAAAGAGATACATTATGTTCCCAAACAGAAAGCAGAGTTTGGGACGTTTGGGAGCAGACAAAGAACATTTTTTTTACCTCATTCAACATGCGGTGAAGCTCATCCCTGGCTTCAACAACACGGTCACGATCATTGCTATCAACCACAAAGATAAGCCCCTGAGTATTCTGGAAGTAATGTCGCCATAGGGGTCGAATCTGGAAGTGCACACATAAAAGAGATTATAAATGTTAAGTTAGAATGTCCCACATTATAGAGGGAAACAATAACGCAAGAGCACAAAGAAATCACTATTTTGATATGGATGAAGCAGAATAAATTCAATAATGACTTAAATAAGTATTAGTAAATATATATGCTATGTGTGCCAAATTGCCCAAAGCCTTTCCTCACATTATAGGAGGAAGAACTTGACAAGAATATGCACCAGTCAATATAGCTTATGATTATGTTATGTGCTGATGGTAAAATATCTAATCAGCACAAGACCGTCAATAAGCACTATAGATATAATGCATCAACATACAACATGTATACGACAGTGAACGTAAATCTGAAATCAGCAGACTAAATAGCCTTCACCCTTAAAATAAGATAAACCATGATATGGATGGGGACTCCAACATATGTAGCTCACAGCTAGGTCATCTTAGACACTAACAGACAAACATCTAAGCAGCAAAAGAATATACTATGATTTACAGAGAGGCTACCCCACACAAGTAGTAGGTAAGTTATATCTAATGTCTGCCACGACCCAGATAGCTTTTCCTCATATAATAAGGAAAAATTTGAAAGACAAGGTGGCACAAATTGATATAGCTTATGATTATGTTACAAGCTGACAAAAGAAAACCTGATCAGCACAGGACCATCCATGAGCACATCTATGTCACTATCAGGCTTGAAAAATACCTCACTAGGTACAGAATCATGCAAACTATTAAACAAGACATAAAACTAAAGCCATGAAAAACGTAACTCCATACACATTATACATTTAGATAGAAGAGAAGTTTTATCTACATTTAGTACAGTAAGAAGATCAGCTACTTGAATCCAAGTCACTGAGATCCCGCAAAAAATACATCGTGTGACTAAGTTATATCTCCAAGTCCTTACAAAGGAAAGGTTACTTGTATACAATACAATGGTGGCATACCTTGTCCTGACCACCAACATCCCAAACGGTGAAGCTGATGTTCTTATACTCCACAGTCTCCACATTAAACCCTGTGTTACAAGGCAAACAGCAATAGCATCAAAGACTAACTACAAGGTAAAGTATTAAACAATTAAGCCAATATGTTATATACATTGTAAAGGCAGAAAACCATACCAATTGTGGGAATGGTGGTGACAATTTCTCCAAGCTTGAGCTTATACAAAATGGTGGTCTTACCAGCCGCATCAAGACCCACCATAAGAATTCGCATCTCTTTCTTGGCAAAGAGCCGACTGAACAACTTGGCAAAAGACAGCCCCATCTTTTTATCTCAGCTGAAACACAAATTAAATACCAAATCAACAACACATCCAATCATAACACAGAGTACGAAACGTGCGAAACCTATTCAGTTTCAGAAGATCTATAAGGAAATCCAAACAGATCTGCCTCCACTGAATCTCAAATGATCAAATCAACAACATAATATCGAACGCATACGAATCAGAACAGAGTAAGCCATGGAAATCAAGATCTAACTCGAATCAAAGCCAGATCTGAACATACAACCATGCAGATCCAGATCTGGCATACGACACTCAAAACAACACAACCAAAAACAATAATCCATACAAATCCGGCTGGGAACCAGCAAGAGGAAAACCAAAAAGCAGATCCAGAAGGAAAGGTTAAGAGGAAATACTTGATGAAGATCGGAGGCTGCCGAACGGAGCGAGAAGAGATTCAAGAAATGGATCTACTGCTGTGATTTTGATTTATACATGGCGGAGGATGACGGCGTATGGTTTTTTCAAAACATTTTAGCCGTTAAATGCTAACGGACGTTAGTGCTCTCATTGCCGGTCCTCTACTATTCAATATCAACCTCTCCCTCCTCATTGTTTCAAAAAAATAAAAAAAAATTTTAAAAAAGTTTTTAAACTAAAATTATTTTAAGGTTTTTTTTTTTTTTGCAAAAAAATTACTTTAAAGTTAAAAAATACAAAACTTAGCACTTCTATATAAAAAGCAGAAACAAAAATTTTATTATACAACAAGTAATGCTTCAAATTAAATAATTAAATATTAAGATTTTATAATTTTAAAATTATAACTTCAACTCTTGTAAATGAAAAATTTTCTCTAAATTTTATAAGATTGAATATATCTTCACCATGTACATTTGTATACTAACACAATCAATATAACTAAATGAATATCACAGCTATACTTATGGTATAGTCTTAAATTTTTGTCAAATTTTAAAATTATTTTCTATAATTACACTATTCAACACTTCTAGAGCTACATATATCTTTAATTCTGAATCAAATATCTGAGATTTTCATTATTAGACTCAAAACTACTACTATTGCATAAAATTTAATCATTTATCTTGTAATTTAATTTCCATAGTTTCCATGGTGTCTTCCAAATCAAAATAAAAATGGAAAATGTATATAGAAAACCATATATTTTTTCTCTAGTTCAAATGAGCCCTCAACTCAATTGATTACAGGGACTATTTTGATCCTCTCTTACAAAGTTAAAGACATAGGCATACATTCCATAAGTGAAACACATACTGCCTGCCTTAACTACTAAGAGCTTTCCTTCCTACTGGAATTAATCCAGCCTTCTTCACATACATAAACATACTACAAAGCACAAACACTTGACAAAATCTACCTAACACGGCGCAGAATCGAGCTAATTTTGCCCGACATTAGCAGGAAAATGCTTCTTGTTTGCAAGCTCCAAGTCATCATCTTGCTGACTTTCCATTTCCTCCATGGGTTTCAACTGTTTCGTCTCTTTTTCCTTGCCCCATAGAACCGCATAAAGTCCAGCAACGATCAGAACTGACCCTACAAGACTGAATCAATATTATTGTATATATGGTTAGCATCTTTGCTCATTTCAACTCAATCAAGCTAGTTATAGTTATAATGAGTTTTTTTATTTTATAACCTAAATTATTTTAGATCACAAAATAAAGAGAACTCAATATCATAGAGATTTATCTTTCGTTTTAAGGTTTTTATTTTACAATCTATTATAGTTCAAATTGCAAAATAATTTTTCATAATGCTACGCATATAATTGAACAAATCATGTCTACATCTACTTACGTTCCCACGAATAATTTTTCATGTAACAATGCCCAACTTAGGATTGCTACAATAACAAGCAACAACGGGCTGAACACCGAGACATAGAGAGGTCCTTTCTTTTCTATGCTCCATGTCATTAGGCAAAACGCCAACGCGTTACAGACAATCCCCTGAAATTGCATGCCAGAAACGTATATGATAACAATCATTTTTAATAAACGAGTTTGCTTGGAAGTGAAGCATACCGCATACAAGGATGCAACGAGCCTAATACCAGACCTCAATGACCATTCTGAGATTTTATGCTCAGAAATGAATCCAATGACAGTACACTCAATGCTTGCCATAAAACACATCACTGCAGTTGTCGTGTATGGCGCCGGGAACTTTTTCCCAAGCCGTGCCTGAAAATCATGAACGATCAAATGACTAACTAATAGTATTGGAACGAAGTGAGCATTTTAACGTTAAAGTACTAACCTGGATTATGAACCAAACAGCCCCAGCAACACAACTGACTATGACTAGGAATGGACCAAGAAAGGTCGTCCCATTACCAGAACTTGAAGCGTCCATATTCTCTGCATATTTCCAATGAATACTGGATTCTGTTATGTCAATGGTGTGTCCATGGTAAAACGACAACAACATCGAGCCACCGACACATACTATCGTCCCTATCACCTTTGCCTGCCCTGCTGCAGTCTTTATTCTCACATCTTCTTGTCTAGTTAAGCCGAATAATAAAAGTTATATCGAATCAATACATAAGGCATTAATGTAGTAGTAAAGAACAGACTGCTGAGTTGTTAAAAAATCTATTATGTACACCTGCAAAGGGCTGCAAGGACAAATGTGACTGCAGGGAGGACATTGTTCAATGCACAGGCAATTGTTGCGCTTGAATATTTCAGTCCAAGAAAGTAAAACACCTGGTTTGCAGTTGCCCTGCATATGATTAATGTTAATTCCCCTATATATTTTTCAGTATCTAGATTAGGTAAATCCTAAAGTCGAGATTCGAAATAAAACTTACCCGGTAATAGAACACAAGAACAACTGGAATAGAATAGGCATTGTGATTCTGGGTCTTGTCTTCCTGCTCAAGTAACCAGAAAGAGAATTAGAAACCTGTTTTGAGGTAAGAAAACAGAGTTTTCCCCTCAGAAATTTAGTTTCGTTTGGGGTTCATAATATTTTTCCATTTTTTCCTGGGAAAGAAAAAACGCATCGAATTTACGTGGCATGAAATTAATGACCCTGAGCGGCACGTTACAGGTTGCCAAGTAAACAAACAGAAGGGTTGGAACTTGGAAGGCATGCATTGGCTCAAAAAAAAATTTTTTTTTTCCTTAAAAAATGTAGTAGTAATTATTACTAGAACAAAATTTTTGCGAAATTTTCGGTAATTTCAAAGAACGTTTAATCTAACTCCCTTTTTTCTCTTTTCAAAAAGACGACTTTTTCTTGCATTTTCCCATAAAACAAACAGAACCAACATAATAAAAACAAGAGGAAGTATCAAACCCAATTTGCTGGTTCGTTGAAGGGTTTGTTTTACTGTGCCGTTAGGGTTGACTGCATCTTTTAATAACCAATTATTATAGAAAAATATGAAAGTATTATTTTTAAGAAATTCATTAATGAGGTTTTCTAACATATACCTTAAATTTGAAAACTTAAAAGGACAAAAATTAAT